CTAACCCCAATGTAGAAAAGGAGATAGATCAATGGTGTGTGAGAGAGAGAGAGAGGTACTTGGGTTCATGGTGAGTGGAAGACCAAACTCATTGGTAAAGAAATCTTGTGTTGGAATCTTACACATATTCACACACATTCCTACACACCCACTATTCTCCAAATACCTTCAAAATCAAACAAAAGTAAGATCAACCAAGCAAGTCTGTGACATTTTGAAGAACACAACAAGTAGTAGCGTCACTTACCTGCATTTCTTGATACGAACTCCACTTCTCTGTTTCACACCATTCACTTCAACTTCAATAACCTCAGAAGGACCAACTAACCAATGAAAGAAAGGCACTGTAAGAGCTGCATTAAACTCCGCAGCCCATTTCGTCGGTGGGAAGAGTTTTCGAAACTGTTCAGGAGCACCAGGAGGAAGCATTGAGAGAAGAACTTCCCTCACGACCTCTTGTTGTTGCAATCTGTTTCTTCCTTGCATCACTCTCTTTGAAACCTCAACGAAGCTCTCGTAGTCGTAATCCCAAAACCCTCTCTTGTTCTTCTCCTCGTGATCCTTCTTCTTTGAACCACCAAACTTGTCCATTTTTCTAGCGAACAGTCCCATGAACACTCTCTCAGGTAACCCATCGTTGTATTTAGTCTTCTGACCCATCGGAGCTGGTTCTCCGGTCGGTTCCATAATCCCACATCGTGTGGTTACACGTTTGAGATGAATTGCTTGGAGACTAGCACCAATAGCAGCCGCCATGGATAAGATCAAAGATCTCTTTTCTCTGTATGCTCTGTTCTTCCCTACCAAAAGTACTCACTCTGTTTTATGGCCACACGTAAAGGATGAGACTTGAAGGTTCAAACTCACGATTCAATTACAAGTGTCCACTTTGTTTGCCTCTTAAACAATTTTCACATTTTATTTTGTGTGGACTAAAAAAACTCTCTTTTTTCACACAGAACAGAACATCTGTGACTGTGAGGTTCATATCCAACCAAAACCTCCCTAACTCAATCGTATTGTCCTCTAGAAAACTGCTTTATGTGATTTGATCGAATCCTATTGGAAGCTGAAAAATGTGATTCCAGGAATTATAAAAACAGAATCT